ATTATTGAAAAAAGAAAATACAGAAGGAAAACGCTTTAAAAATACACAGTGAAGAAATCATTCAGGGGCTGTGTCCCAGACAAAAACTAACAGGGATGAAACTAGGATGAAAAAAGCCTTCCCGGGGGCTACGTGAAATCCTTTTGGTTGAGCTAAAAAGTAAAAAATAAAAAGATTAATAAAGAAAGGAACTAAATGTGGCTGCCCCAAGCAGGAATTCAACAGATGCAGTTTTCTGCCGCTGAATAGATTCGGTAATTCTCTGAAGGAGACCCTGTTGACTCTAACAAGTGCAGGACAGAAATCCAATTAGTACATTTCCAGGGACAAAAATAGAGGCTAGGAGGATCAGACCCAAGCCCGAGTGGCAAATGTGTGGGTGATCATTAATGGGCAACCAAGTTATTCAGAAAACTTAATTCTCTGTGGCTGCCTTGTGGTGGTTGAGTTTTTCACAGTCTAGATCTGTAGCCACAAAAGACGCAGAGAAAGAATTTCTCTGCTGCAATTTTCTGCCAGGTAGCTCTAGCCAGGAGACACCTGGCTGATGCAGCTAGCCTTTGGGTGGGAAATCATCCGGCGATCCCAGGGCTGGAAAGTTAGAAGCAAAGCAAAACACCCAGGAAAAAGGCAGAGAGAACTGCACATTAATGCAATTGGTAAGATCGATAGGCCGCTTCAGACTGGACAATTTAAAATGCGTCTTGAACATTGCAAAGGGCAAGCTATCTTTTTGGATCAGCAATGTTAATGCATGATAACAAAAGAGCTGGACTTCTTTTGAGAACTCTCCACTTCGGTGTCATCAGTTTTGGCATCGAGTCCTCCTCGAGCTCAGAAAGAAAGCAGCGGGTCAGTTCGTTACAAAAAATCTAACCCAAATGTATTCAAAGTAGAATGAACTCCCATTCTCATCTGCAGCAGGAAATCAAGCCACAACTTTATTTGCTGGGCTGATTATTTCTTTGAAAGGAAGAATCATTGCAACGAGACAGATATCGTGAGCCCTGGGGAGTGTTTCTCAACCTTAGCAACCTTAAGATGTGTAGACTTCAACTCCCAGAATTCCCCAGCTGGAGAAATTCCCAGATGTGTGGACTTCAACTCCCAGAATTCCCCAGTCTTGGGGAAAATGGAATCCAAAAGAATGGATGTCTTCTGGACTCCTGAGTCCACGCAGCACGCTAAACCATAATGTGGTTACTTGACTTTGGCTCTAACACATTGTCTGAACACAACCACTGTGGTGTGCAAACTGTGCTTCCTGGCTTAGCATGTGCTGCAAATGGTTTATTTGGTTTAAATCTGGTTTATTCATGGCTTCGTGGAATAGGGAAACTCAGCCTTGCAATCTAAGGCGCCAAGCATGATTAAAAATGGTCCTTACCTCTTTAGCACCTGGACAACCTACAGACTTTAGCCAGCCAATGCTTCCTGGGTGCAGGGAGAACCTTTTTCAACCCTGGCTGTTTGCAACTCCAACTGCTGATTGGCAGAAAGCTGGCACGTTCTGCCCTGCGTGACTGACGGCTGGCAGCATTTTTGAATGACAGATGCTTTAGTTCAGTGTTGTCCAAACTTGGCCACTTTAAGATGAGTGGACTTCAACTCCAAGAATTCCCCA